CAAAGTAAGAAAGCAAGGTTATAGGATTTTAAGTATTTGTATTATTACAGTACTCCTTTATTGATATTTCATATAGGAAAAGTAGTGGATACATTTCTAGTTATTGATATACAAAATTGGATTTTCTATTAACTTCAAAGAATTTTTATTTCACTCTTTTTTTAACACAATTATATTTATCATAGAACAAAAAGTTATTTCATTTTTACATAATATAAAAATTGTTTATTAATACAAGATACTATTATGAAATGCAGAAAATATTTGTCAAAATTGTATACACACATTTTATTTAATAACAAAAGAAACTTTTAGTGCTAAAGATTTCTTTATATAACATTCTATATTTCAACAGAAGTTATTGACTAGAAACGTTTTGTTATTTAACATCATGAATTACATCAACTTTAACATTTAATTATGTTTAAATGGTATTGTGTCTTTTTTTAATCATTTTCCTTATACTCAGGACCTTTTGGCAGAATAGGTCCAAAGATCAAAATCGTCATTACCCTGTTTGTTATTGTAATTTTATACAACATGTGCACATAGACATAGAAAATAACAGTACATTACAGAATACATGTTATATTTCTTTAATTTGTAGTGCAGATGTCAAATTAGAAATCAGTTAAATATCTACTTTTTATTGTAACAATACCTATGCTATAATTTCACTAATGATAATTTTGATACATTATTAAAGCATCTGTTTCTCAGCTTCAAGGGTAATTCATGCTAATTTTGATTATCTTTTAATACTTAATCTGATTATTAACATCAATATAAATCATCATACAGTTTGTATCAAACTTTGGTGTTTTTCTTTGATGTTGCAAAGAAACTCTTAGTTTTGCATAAAAGAATTTCCTAAATTTATAATAGTTAACATTAACAGAAGGATATTATTCTAAGAAACGTTTCACAGCCTTGCACATCTTCTGGAATTCTTTCATTAACTTTAGTAACTGTGATCCCAACAAATGTAATTAGTAAAAAGAATGTTTCAAAGTTTCAAACTCATAGGATGTTTTTCTTTAATACTATCAATTACCTCTGTCAATTTAAAAAAATATTCACCGCTGCATCTTCTCTGCAATTAAGCGTTTCTACGAATTCTATTCCTAAATAGTAATTCACAGATCGAATGCAAAGGAAAAAAAAATAGATATTTCTGTATGTACATATACATATATACACACTATAGATGTAATAAATGCTAGGCAAATGTTATCACCTTACAATAGATAAATGTCGTTGAAGAGTTTTGGCAACGATTAAAGAAACTGAAATGTAAATGTCGTTAAACTAAAAGAAATTCTTATTATCACTGTAAAATACGTGAAAAAATTATTCTATACTGGTATCAACTTATAGGAAATTTCACGCTTTAATGTATCACCGTTAAAGGTTGTACCAGAAGTGTTAAAATTTCGCTATCTATACGAAAGATAAATCAGCTGTTACTTCGCTGTTTCTTTGCTTATCATTTACGCAAAATAGTAGCGAAAACTTTGCATTTTGAGCAGAGTCACTTCTGTCGTTAATCCTGTTTTCAATTAATCGTCTAATTTCTCTTTACACTACTACAGGCATAATTCTTCAATGCCGAGGTCTTCTTGCGTGTGTTGATGTTCGTCGGAGGAAAAAACGTACAATTCTTCATTTTTTCTAGAACAGTTATTTCCACTGCGAATATAACAACTAATTCCTCTTTTACTTCGTCCGCTTAGTTGGTGATCCGCGATGAACGATTCAGACGATTCTTTCGTCGGTGCACCTTTGTAAAACGACGAAACGTTTGGATAGGTACCGGAAATCGTTCGTCTCCATTCGTATCTGGAATATTTTCAGAATCGTTTAAATACATTCTTGTGAAATTTACCGTTGAAATTTCAACGACTTCTAGGTGGAAATTTTGCAACGAATTATTTGTAATTTGTAGGCGTTGAAAATCGTACCTAATGGAAGTCCGGGTACTTTGTGTTTTATCCGTGTCCGTGGTATTGGTTGGCGGACTGGTTGACCATTTTCGCCATAAAAAGGGACATCGTTGTTTGAATTCTCTTCGGAATTTTTCCTAAAAATATTTCACGCTTTAAGGTATGCTCAGTTAGAAATTTTGAAAAATTCAATTTTTCGGTTTTCACAGTTTTCTTCAAGCATAGGTGGAAAAGATTTCCTGAAAGTTTCAAGTTGATTCGATTCAAATCTACGGAGCTGTGCGGTGACCAAAGTATTGCAAAAATCACTGTGTCGATTTATACTTCAAATTTTTCAGGCTTATTGTAGAGATAGAAAACTAGTCTTTGAACGAACGATTTTTTTGTTTTTTTAATTGACGAAAATCAAGCGTTTTTTATACTGAAAACTGATACCTTGACTTTGACTTTCAAATTTATTCAAACGCGCTTCGTTCAAAGACTGGTGAATTTAATATAATAACTAAATTTTTTCGAATTTTTAATTTTCGATAATCGATGATCGCTGCAACGCTTAAAAAAAAAAAAGGACTTTCAAGAAAGCGGCCGTATCTTTGACAATTATTAATATTTTTCAACGAAAAAATTCTGATAGTTGCTTGAAAATATAGTCTTTCAGATACGGCAAGATGTATCGTAAAAAGTTGACAAGTTTCTTCGAAACAAATTCGCAAAGGTCACGTTTTTTCCCACTTCCTAACTAAGCATACCCCCTTAAGGTGGAATTTTCGTGTCTTGGTTAAATTGTTCCCGTGAGAATCTTATTTAAGCTGAAACATTCGTGTTAATTTACACTCACATTGTATATTCCGTAGATGAACGGATTGCAGCAGCTATTCGACATAGCCAGCGAGTCACAGAAAAACCATATGTAATTGATATATTCGTATCTGCAATTGTGTTGTCCAAATTTCATGTATTCCGATAATAGGCCGTTTATTGTGTAAATGGAAAAATTACTCACACGTTAATTTCTGGATAAAGAAACTGTAAAAAGTAGTATGTTTGAAGTGGTAGCCAACAAATTGCGAACAGGGCTACGACTATAAGGAACATTTTGATTACCTGCAAAATGCAATTTAAGGATCTGTTAATTAGGAAACATTAAGATGAAATATGACGACGTAGCAAACATATGTCCGTATTAAAATGAAATGTTCGCATTCTTTATACATACTACCGTAGTATCAAAAAATCACAATATGCATTTCTTGACGTAATATGCGAATATTTATTCCCATAATTTCATCCACGTGAAAATTTCAACAAGTTTGATTAGAGTCCATTTAAATTGCGCGCGTAACGCGTGTAATTATTAATTTAGCTTTGTTTTCGTTTACGAAAGAGCATTTCATTTCTTCGTGTTAGACAAAATGAACAATTCTGCATAGCAAGGTTTGATGTTGATTTGGCAAAAAATGTGAAATTTTGGTACCCTCATTTTATTCCTCATCAAATTCACGTCCCGAGAGTCTTCCGCATTCCCTGGCGCTTTGTTGCTCCACAGTTTCAACGTCATTCTTGCATAGACGCAGGAAATAATTGAAAGGGGAATTAGGTATTGCGAAAGTACCAAAAATCCTGCGTAAATTAACATCGATTCGTCAGATAGATTCGCGTGTGTACAGAATGGCTTGTAATGTACTTGACTATCTAAAAGAAGATAATTAGACGATCTGTTTTACGTGGTTCTTCATCCTCTATATCTATATATACGTAGAGTAGTTGTAATTTCAAGGAAAATATAGGAAAAATAAGGAGATAAAGTGAGCACGTGATATGACTTCAAACTTTTTTACCTTACTCTCGAAAAAAGAAAAATTCGAGAAACTTATCACAACGAGCTTTAGAACTTACCTCTACGATTTTCTGGCACCATAACGACCTTCTGTGCAACAGCACTTGGCGTTGCTAAACACACCCCGACAATCCAAATTCCAACGATGAAAATTTTCGCAGTGTGTTTGCTCGGTCTAGCGCTGTTCGGGTTAGAGAGTAAAGGAAGAGGGTGTAAAAATAGTTGGCAAAAAAAAGAAATTCCAAAATTGAGTGGTACCTTCGAGAGAGATTAACGACGTACCTGAGAGGTTTTAAAATTGCTTTATGTCGATCGATAGCAATTGCTGTCAGCGTGAAAATCGAGACGTTCACTGAAAGAGCTCGTATGAAAGGGCAGAAAGCACACATAAAATAAGGCAGATTCCATCTTTGCAGCAGGGCTGCTTGAAACTTGAAAGAAAAATATTAAATTTCTACGATGTCTTTCGTTTTCTAACTTTTTCTGTTTTTTTTTCTTTTTTTCTTTTAGGTCAGCACAATTTGCACAGTTTTGCCTCTTTTCTTTCTTTTTTTTTCTTTTTTTTTTCGGTAAAGCGAATATAGTGTAATTAAATTGTTTTACCTGAAATGGAATCGCAAACAACCCTATAATAATGTCCGCAAACGCTAAGTTTGCTATGTAATAATTTTTAACAGTCTGCATACGCCTGGACGTGGCTATTATCCACATAACCAGCGCGTTTCCCACCACAGCTAGAACAGATATCGTTCCGTACAACATGCTGAGGAACACGAGAATCGTCGTTGGCACTTCATACTTGTTAGCTGAAAATCAATGAAAACATATGGAAATTACATTATAAACGGTGGAATATTTATAGAGGGAAAATAAGATGGAAATGTAAATGTTTCCCAATATATCACGCTTTGCACGACGAGTATTCGACGAATATGAATGGACAGTGTTTACTTTTGCGAGTAAAATTCGTTCAATTGAATATTTTTAATTCTTGCAAAAATTCGTTGTGAAATTTCATGGAAATTTAAGTTTCACGTTAATTTCGAACGTTTCGAATGATTTTGGATTTATTAAAAAGTAGATACACTCCTTTTATCAACGATTGAAAGAAACTCGTGGAGGGAATGACCTACAACACGTCGATCCAGATAAGATTGTCGTTGTTCACCTCGTTTTCTTCTTCGTCTCTTCGAATAACGTCTTCGACGTAAAATAGGATGAATAGTTTTGCGTGAAAGTTAAAAGCGTCATGAATAAAAACATCGAACTTTTGCATCTCGACATTCGCGTTACGCGAAACTGAAAAGGGTAGGAATAATTCAGCATAAAAAGTGTTGTGTGTTGCAACAATTTCGAAGATGCGACGGCTTATTCGTATTTATGACACCGTTTTAGCACAGCCATTGAAAAATCAAAGCGATCCTACGTTCAATTCAAATTTGACCCGATTTATGCTGAAACCGATAAATATCCAACGTGTATTGTAGAAAAAAAAAAAAGAAAAGTGTATATGTGTGTTATTCGTGTTGATTATTGCAACGTGTTTCATAACACGCGAATGCATGATAGAAAGTCATTTCTCACTTGATCAAAAGGAAAATGGAACGACATAAAAAATTACCTGACATTTCACTTGAAATTTTTCCAAGTATAGCTGCACATCACTGTTAGTGCATTTGTTATTTTATTTTGCAATATTTTAACGTGAAATTTGATTTAGCGATTGACGCTGTACGTTTTCTTTTTTTTTTTCGAATTGCGATATTATGAATTTTCTTTGTTGATGGATTGTAAGGAAAAGGCAGAAAATGTTTGTAGCAGGATGTATCTGTCCTTTAGCTGTACGTTATTTAGACATCACGTGAATTTCTGTCACGAAGACAGTGACCGAAAACTTCCGGTCTTGTAATGTGCAAAACCATGCTATACAGGGTGATTCACGCATTTGGAACGAGTCGTATTTCTTTTCTGATTGCAATTAGTATTCTAAATCTCGTTTTTCAGCTCATTTTGTACACGTGTACTATTGTAATTTAATATTTAAGAAAATTGTCGAACAACAAATATTTTAAAGCAAGTAGGATATAATTAGGTGCTTAACTGCAGTCCTTCATGAAAAGATTGTATTGCATGTAAGAACAACGAGAGTGTATATATGCAGTACGCGAAGGAATTTAGGTTAGCACTTTAGTGGAGGACCTTAACTTGTGAACGAGAGCTTTCAAACCATTGTATCCATCACCCTTAACGCTACTTCAGTTGAATAGAGCTTTAAATTGATACTGCATACACTTTTAGTTCATTGATCATTCTGTTAATAAATTGTCGCGATTCAATTTAGATGTTTCTTATTCGAATAACATTTCTCATTCAGTAAAATTGTATTTTCAAAAAGAAAAAGAAAAATGGTCTCTGGCGACCGTTCGTAAATCAGGAATTCGGAAATCTCTCGAGTGACTGATCATACTG